AACAGATGTGAGCTCAGGTCTAATTTGCCTCACACACACACAAAATCACAAGAGTGGTGGGTGGGTAGACATATAATATATAATGATTATATTATATGCATTATATGAAAATAATTATCATGTAAAGAGACTGATTTGTTGCTGTCAAGGTCAGAATTGTTATTTTACACAAAAACAAGTACAAAATATATTTATATAAGCCTTAAAAATTCACTGGGAATTTTCCTAGAGCTTTAGGACCACTGAAATAAGTATAGTAAAATCAGTCATTATAGAATGAGAAGGCAAGTTTATGCAAATCCTTTGTATTTTAATCATAACCATTTCCATTATAAATATTATTTTTCCTTGGGTTACCTAAAGACTAAGCTATTGGTGTATTTTTTGCAGTTAATGTGTAAATCTCTTTCACATGAACCTTAGAAATGCTTTTGATGGGGGTGTTTCTATAATACAGTGTTATTCTGTTCACAAGTTTAAATAATGTTTAATAGAACAGAACTTGAAACTTCTTTCTTATCCCCCCTCATTAATGAATTGTGACTAAATAATTCATTATGTGGCTAATTATGTGAAGTAATTCAATTGTGACTGTTCATTATGACTAATGAATTGTGTTTATCTATAATTATAAAATCTGTGAATATGAAAGTACAGAGGAAAATACTTTTATTTTGGGCAACAATGACCTGATTTTATGAATTTTAAATATGGTTATTCCTTCAACACCCTAACTATAAACCTGTATTCACCTGACATGAATATGAACACACCGCTTTGTGTTTAGGATTCTGGTGAAAGTGATTTTTGCATTTTTTAACAGTAGTTTGGAAATCTTTTTCCACGTCAGCATCTTGAAATCTACCTCATTCCTATAAATAGCTATATGCTAGTGTCACACTGGACTATCTCAACACTTAAAACAGAATATACTTCTCTTAAATAAAATATTATACTGGGCTCTTACCTGGTCACAAAATTTGAATAGCTCCTGTCATGAATATTTCTTAGTGGACTCATTAGGAAGTGTTCTAAAATTAACATTTTATAGCTGGGACTGCATTTATAGCCCTAAAGGTGATGTTATTCTTATATTAAGAGAAAAAAAAAGAAAATATCATTTGTAAGTAAGATTATCTAGGAGAGAAAACATACCTCCCATTTAATAGAGACCTAGAAAAGGAACTGAGACTTTTTTCTTTTAGGGTCTTTTCCTATATTTGTGTGTATTCTTGCTATTCTTTTTTTGTGTGTGTGTGAGGAAGATCAGCCCTGAGCTAACATCCATGCTAATCCTCCTCTTTTTGCTGAGGAAGACCGGCTCTGAGCTAACATCTATTGCCAATCCTCCTCCTTTTTTCCCCCAAAGCCCCAGTAGACAGTTGTATATCATAGTTGCACATCCTTCTAGTTGCTGTATGTGGGACTCGGCCTCAGCACGGCCGGAGAAGCAGTGAGTCGGTGAGCGCCCGGGGTTCTGAACCCCAGGCTGCCAGTAGCAGAGCACGCGCACTTAACCACTAAGCCACGGGGCCGGCCCATGTATTCTTGCTATTCTTATTGCTCTGTACAATACTCAGAGAAAAAATGTCTTTCTTTTGCTAAGATAGCACAGGAATAACATTAAAATAAACATTTTAAAAGTGTAATCCTGAACTGTGAGAACTTTTATGAACTAGTTTTAGATAAAACTGTGTCAAGTATGATGTGTAAGGCAGAATATTTTTTCTCTTTTTATTTTAGGAAAGGTTGTTTGTCAATGAAGAAAATGTTAATAAAGTTCTTGAAGAGGTCCTGAGTTCCCCATCCACACAGACAGACCCCCTAATTCCACCATTAATCGAAGTTCTTCAGGTCACTGAGAGCAAGATTCAAATTCACGCAAAGGTAAAGACCTCGTGGGCTTTACAGATCAGTGATGTAGGACGAGGTTAAAGGCTAACAAATAACTTAATTCTTGATGTTGTAACTTTAAACTAAATATGGGTAATGGCTGGGAAGAGTGATGTTAAGAGGAGAAAAGACTTCTTTGTATATATTTTACTAAGCCCTACACACTCTGCAATTCATTTTCACGTATTATCTCATTTAATCTCCAATAACTGTCCAATGAGGGATAGAGAGAAACTAGCATTTGGGAAGTTTGAGTCTTTGTGACTCTCAAACCATGGCAACTATGTCTGTCATACAGTTTGTTCATTCTTTCTGGTTAAACCTTAAGTTTGGTTATTTTTAGTCTTCAATATTGAACACAGAAATAATTTAGTAACCAGCACAACTGACTTATATATAAATTGGGGGAAGAGTGGCTCTGAAGAATCACAGAAATTCAAGAATGCCCTTATAAGAATGACTGCTGAAGGACTTTGTAGGACAGGTTAAAGGGTTTGTAGGCCAGGATTACTTTATCCTGAAGGAGAGGAGGAGTCATTGAAAGGAGTTAATCAGAGAATGAATGCCAGGTTTGCATTAAGCAATGACTGGCAGCATCTGGAGGATGACTTTAAAGGGCAAGCCCCCAGGAAGCCTATCAGCAGGTCTGCAAGTCATTCCCTCACAACTTTTTTAAAAAAATCTTATTTCCAGAGGGTACTAAAATTTAATTTTCTATTTGTTTCAAAGAACTATTAATGTTGTTTCCCTTGACACAGTTGCAAGAATGTAGTAACTCTGAGCAGCTTCATGACAACGAAAGAGTCAATGAAGGAAGTCACCTAACTGAAAAAGAAAGTACAGAACATCCTCCCACCTCAGCGGCTGATTCTGATTCATCTAGAGCACAAGTGCTGGAAACAGACAGCTGTGGTTCAGCTGCACGCTTGCAACAAGAGTCTCTTGGTATTTCTCAAATGTTATTTGGAAAGTCTCAGCAACCCGAGTCAAAAAAGGAACCTGAATTTATAAGACAAAAAGGTGTTCTTTACTCAAATGAGGAAAAAGATAATTTAAAAGAACCAGTAATAACTGAAGAGGAAGAGTTAGACGGAGATCACCTATCTTCATTAGTGAACAAAACTACATTTCACGATAGATCTGGTTTTGACCACATAAAGGAAACCAATATGCAGGATGGTAGTGTGCAGATTATTAACGATCATGTGACTCACTGTGCATTCAGTGTTCAGAATTCTCTGCTATATGACTTGGATTAATTCTATATAATTTTAGAATTTATAAAAAAGTTTTGGACTTACATTAGATTCTTTCTGTTAACTACTATCTTAAAACTAAAGGTATTCAAGAAAGTATAAAATTACAATTTGCAATTTTGATTCTAATGGGGAAGTTGGAGATATTTTTTTGCATGTAGAGTTTATACAAAGCTTCCTTAATTATGGGGATAAGTTTTGTGATTCCTCTGAAAGATGTGAATTTTTTCCAATGGGGAGTTAAACATTTAGTGTTAATACAACCTATATATATTTAATTCTGTGTTGATTTTGGCTTCTTTTTACCATTATTTTAATAAAATTTCAAAATAAATATTCACTAAGTTGTGTGTCACAAAAAGTAATTCTCAAGAATGCAATTAACTAGGAATATGAGTGTGTGCGGGGGGCTAGAATCTCAAAACTATGCATTTATAAATCTCACTGAATAGGAGGTATTGATGCTTGAAATAGATTCTTAGAGAGGAAAGAACTTTACTAACCAATATTAACGATCCAAACAATTACACTATAAATAACACTGAATGAAATTTAGTATTTTTGCCTCAACTCTGTATTCTACTCTTTTCCTATATCTGTCACACAAATTATATGTATAATACAGGTTGTTATTTAGTAATGACTGCAAATTCAACTTTTTAAAAGAAGTTTTTGGAAGTTGCTATTACAATATTAAAACCTCTTGGTTTTATAAAATACATTTATGAATTTCAGGACAGTTAAAAAATCTGGGAATTTGCTCTCATAGGAAAATTGTCTTCAATTGTCTTTTATTACATGAAAATAACAACAGAAAAAGCTGGTGTTTTCTAATCAATTTCACACCTAAAAGAGGGCAGCAGATAATGTATCTAACAGTTGCTAAGTTATTAATTTTGTGGAACAGTATTTTTGAGGCCAGGAGAAAATTCTAATAGATTTTTTCTCACGAAAACTTTTAGTACAGATTTTTAGTACAACATGAAAGGAAATGTAGAAAGGAAAATATCTGATGTAATCGCTGACCCCAAGGCCATGAGCTGATCCATTTCTGTTCCAAACATGGCTACTAACTCAAACCACTGGTCTTATCTTAGTCCTGGAAATTACCCAATTGTCCTTCGAACTGCGGAGGTCAGATCAGAGCACCAAAAGCTGGTACGAAGTCTGGCAATGCATCCTGATTTACATTTACAACCCCGATCAAATCTGGACCCAGACTGGGTTGTGAGGGCAGTACAAACGGAGCTCACAAAGCCAGAGAACTACCTGCTCCATCTCAGATGACCATGTGCATTTTTCAACCATAACATGAATCTTAATTGATGCAATCATTTTGAGACTGTCCATTTAACACAATTTTCTTAGACTGAAATGACTAATTGTGGTACCTACACAAATTAGTCTGAGTAATTTCTGGTTGAATGCAATTATATACTGTTAAGGAAAACTTCTATGTTAAATATAGAGTAAATTTCAAGCCTGTTTCCTATTATTTACTGTGTCCTTTTAAAAAGCATTTCAGTTAAAATAAAGCTGGCACTAGAACATGCTTCACTTCAGCATGACTGAACTTTGTATCTTGTCTGGCTTTTGAAAACAATTCAGGCTGTATTTCACTTGACACAGTAGCTTTTTATTGTTCATTATCTATGCCTGGCTAATCTCAAAGCCAGTTTCTTCTAAAGGGAATAATGCGTTGTCAAGAGCTGGGTTTTCTTTATTTCAGACTCAGTTATACAATATGCAGAGAGTAAATATGAAAATGTAATTTTAAAACTTCTAGAATGGCTTTACTGAATTCTGGTGTAAAGAGTAAACAAAATTTATTCTGAAAAATGACTAGGAATCTTTTTATGCAAAAATGAGTATTTATTTTGGCAGCACTAAAAGAAAAAACAAAACCACTGTATTTCTACATTGAGGTGAAAACAGTGTCTAAACTTTCTTATCAATCAAATACATTCCACAAGAAACTGCGTTCTATGAAGGTTCCAAAGCACAGGCAAATCTTAACAATACAGGAATCTGTAATACTGAAAATAACTGTTCTGACAGGGTGTTTAACAAATATCACCTTTGAATTATAAAACCAGTGAAGCAATCCCTTCCTAGTAACTGTCAAGTGTGAGACTGGGCTTATACCATGAATACTCTGACAATTTCACTGTAATACTTTTTACTGCTATGACAATTTTAAGTAAATTTTGCTGCACTTAAAATAAGTTTTGAAAGTGGAAAAGAGTACAAAGTTCCAGATAGAAAGATTAATAGATGCAATTTAAATAAAATTTACCCCTTTCTCTCTCTCTCTTGTTCTCATTAACAATAATGATTTCCTGTAGCAAATACAGATTGAGCTTTAAAACGTTAACTCCCAAAATGAAAACTTGTGTTTTAAATCTTAATCAGACGTAAAAGGAAAAAACTATTATATTTGGACATCTTTTACAAGAAATTTTTTTTTTGTATTAAAGCAGAAACCAGTTCCTAAACCCTTTTATTCACTTGTATGTTTGGACAAATATCAAAAATAGAAGACTGTCACTTTTGCTTCGTACTTGTGATTTTTCACTGCAGTCTTCTATAACTTTTACAGAGTTCATGGTCCCTAATATCTCCCCACCCTCCATTTTTCCTAGGTGGGGAAATGGCTGCCATAAACTTCTCACTGACAACTAGAGTTTCTGGAAACAGGTACTGTTTGTTATTATTTAAGAGTGACTCGATTTGGGCACTCTGGGTGGACGGTCTACAGGTTTGCTTGTGGTGCATACCACAGTCTCCAGCATGAAAAATCCTAGGAGCTTGAGGAACCAGCACTTTCCAGAATTTTGGAAGACAAGATACAGTCAAATATTGAAGAGTCCAGTCCCAGTTATAATCATCATAAGTACAGAAAGCGTCTGTGCACTCGATGAGTTTCTGATACGCATCCCGGGTCAAGGCTAGACCCATATTGTGCTCTGTGGATTTCCAAGTTTTCACATCCACCTTGTCAGCAATGCCATGGAAGCTGCGACTGGCAGTATAGGTCCCCAGGGACAGCACATCACACTCCGGACACTCTTGCTGCTTCAGGTTCCACATCTGTTTGAAGACGTGGTAAAAGTCCGGGGCTAAGTAGTGATCCTCCTCCAGGAAGACTACGAGGCCAGCATAGTCGCGAAGGACCTTGACCCTCTCCCACACGAAGTGCAGCTTCCACCACCAGTGGTGCTTGGTTTGGGAGAACTTGGCCTCCCGGTAGTGGCCGAAGGAGTCGGGGTACTCGGCGTTAATGCAGCCCATCCTCAGAGCCGCGTTCTTCTTCAGGTCCCGGGGGCAGTCCCTGGGGTCGCTGCCCGGAAACTCGTGGGGGTACAGCTGGATGCTGAAAGGAAAGAAGATCTGCAGGACCGGGCAGAAGTCCACCGCGGCGATGAGCCGGTTGATCTCGGCCGACCAGACGTCGTGGCTGAAGATGACGAGCACGTCGCTGATGCCGCGGGCCCTCCGCAGGGAGCGCAGCAGCAGGCTCAGGTACTCGGGCCGGTCGTGCACCTGCACCACCAGCACCAGCTCGCGGGGCGCCCAGGCGCGGCCCGCGTTCCGCAGCGGCTGGTCGAAGTTGCGCTGGTACACCAGCGCGCGGTAGCGCAGCGTCACGTTGTCCGCCTCGGGCTGCGGCGCGCCGGGCACGGGCGGCGCGGCCGAGTCGTTGGC